TATACCCAAATTTATGCTCCGACAAAAAAATAAGAAAGGGCTGGTTACATCGGAAGAGGGAAGGATAACATATTATTATTACTGTGGACAGAAAGATGCTCTGAATGGACAGGAAAACGATCAATAGGAAAACCAGAGAGAATGTGGCAAGATAGCATCAAAGAGTGAGCGGGGAAAATCTGGATAATTATGGAGAACAGAAGATAGAACAGGATTGAGGTCCTTTTTGAAGGACTATATTTTTCAGCGGATAGAGAGCCTCTGAAGAGAAAGGGGGGAAAGTTACATGACAATGTATACCATTGGTTTACAATTGAAATAAGGTTTGGTTGGGTAGGGAGGGAGAAAAAAAGAGAGAGAGAGAGAGAGAGAGAGAGAGAGAGAGAGAGAGAGAGAGAGAGAGAGAGAGAGAGAGAGAGAAAGTGAAAGGAATTTGATAATGAAAAGAAGTTTCTGAAAAACTCGGCCTCATTTTTTAAAATCTAATTTCCTCTCTCTCTCTCTCTCTCTCTCTCTGTCTCTCTCTCTCTCTCTCTCTCTCTCTCTCTCTCTCTCTCTCTCTCTGTCTGTCCCTCTCTCTCTCTCTCTCTCTCTCTCTCTCTCTCTCTCTCTCTCTCTCTCTCTCTCTCTCTGTATATTTGTATGTCCGTGTATATGTGAATCTCCCTCCTGTTTTCTTCTTTCTCTCTCCATCAATCTATAATTTATCAATCTCTTTCCCATTTTCCCTATCTATCTATCCATCTATCTATCTATCTTTGCCCTGCCAAGAGCAAAATGCTCGCAACTAAATGGATTTGAGGACAACAAACAACATCTATCTATCTATCTGTTTATCTGTCTGTTTATCTATCTATCTATCTTGGCGCTCATGTGACCTTATGCAGTTGCGAGCGCCGTAAAACCCTCTACTATAAAAAAAAACATATCTATCCATCTATCTATCTATCTATCTATCCATCTATCTATCTATCGTTTTATCTGTCTATCTATCCATCCATCCATCCACCTCTGCTACGTCCCCCCCCCCAGAACCGTGTTCATCCCGAGCGCCGACTGACAGTGATGGTGTTGTGTATGACCGGAGCCTTTTTCCTGTTTGAGCTCATGGCCGCCCTGGCGTTTGTGTTGACGTCAGGCAATGACACGTACATAGAGCTCACTGTGCCGTTGATAAGGTCAGTCGCCAGATAAGATCTTTGGCGGTTTGCTTTTGCTGCTGCTTGACTGGGTTAAAAACAGTTGGCGGGTTGTTGTTTTTGTTTGTTTTAGGGGTTTTTTTGTAGAATTTTTTTTCTTTGTTTCGTTTTTTGTTGTGTTTTTTTTTGCTTTTTAGGGGATTTGTTTGTTTTTGTTTCATATTATTTCTGTTTTGTTTTTTGCTTGGTTTTTGGGAGGTTTAGTCTTTGGGGTTTTTTCGGTTTTTTGTTGTTGTTGCTGTTGTTGTAGTTGTAGTTGTTGTTGTTGTTGTTGTTGTTGTTGTTGTTGTTGTTGTTGTTGTTGTTGTTGTTGTCGATGTTAGTTTGGGGTCTGAGTTTTTTTCGGGTGGCGGGGAAATGTTGATATTTACGTATTAGTAATTTATTGTAGAAAGAAAAACAGACCGACAGAAACAGCAAAGGCAAAAGGGAAAGGCACAATGGTGCTCTCTCGCACATTATAGATCCATCTATGGGCTTTAGAGGATGAGGCAGGTTGTACCCAGCACGTTTATGAGCTGAAAGTATACGGAGCGGGCTGGGTTTGTTTGTTGTTTATTTGGGGGGTGGGGAGATAAATGGATTTTATGCCCCACCCCCTAAATTAAAAAATCGACACAATCAGATCATTTATTGACGAATTTCAACACTGCCTATCTCAGGACCAAGTGGGTGGTTGGAAGGTGCCACTGGTAGGTTCTACTTCTTTAGGTTCCTTCTGTTCTTTCTATCTTTCTATCTTTCTATCTTTCTGTCTTTCTATCTTTCTGTCCTCCTTTTTCCCAGGACTACGTGACCATTACTGTGACGATGTGCTTCACTTTACCTAAACAAACAAAACATCAGGGCCAACCCGTTCTATAGGAAGTGCATGCATGGTTGTGACTGGGTTTTGCACTTTGTTTTGAAAATATTTTTAAAGCTTTTGATACTTAAATGCGTCTTACGAAATGGCAAACCTTTGCTGAATTCTATAACCACTCTTCTCAAGATATTCCTCAGTAACTTCAACGTCACTTTTCAATTTCCTTCCAGATTCACTGCCATCTCGGACCTGGGTCTACTCACAAACTCGGCCGTCAACTTCCTCATCTACTGCAGCACGGGCAAGAAATTCCGGGACACGTTTCGCCATCTCGCCTGCAAATTCGTCCACATTCTCTGCCCTTACTCACTCTCTCCGTGCCGGAAAAGGCAGGCCAAATACAGGACGGGTCATGAGTCGGAGGTTACTCACGCAACTACCGTCGCTATTGGCTCCAATTCAAACATAAATATTTCGACCCCAGAGGTCAAGCTTAGAAAATATAATGCGTCTGTTGAAGTCGAGAAATGATCCTCGGCCACGGAAATTGGATACTCACTCGCTTGTCCCTTGACTCGCGTCGTCGCAGGAAAAAGAAGGCAGATGCTGAGATGTTTCATTATGTCCCTGAGGCTGTCGAACCGTCGAGGAGTTCTCCGGCCGACAAACATATCCATTCTTACATGTTTTCAGACAAGACTTTTTTGTCGTCCTCTTTTTGGACTGCCTTCAACACTACCCTGCAAGACAGTTTTGAACGACTCTCTTGCAGGACTGTGTGACCGAACCAGTCGAGTTTTCTGCTCTTTGTCACAGCTAGTAGAAACTCGATACATTAGTTTTTAAAAATAAATATTTTATAGCTTGTTTACTTTCGTTTGTCCACGGTTCAAACAAAATAGATACAAAATGCTCTATTGCATCTTCTCGGATCTTTGCATATGGGTCTACAAGTTGGATGACCAACAGAATCTAGAAGTTACTACAAAATAAAGTTCGGCACATTTTCTTTGATGATAACCGTACACGGTTATTTTTTTTATCAAAGGGGATTTACGGATGCACCAAAAACATAATAAGTTGACCTATTTTCATCAACCCTTCACTTCAACGCACGTCTGTCAAACACGGTAAAACAGACAGGGGGAGGGGGCACTTTTTGAGACTGACATGGAGACGTCTTGACCATCTTTGAGGGGGGGGGGGTATCTGCAAGTTTACATTGACATGTGGGGGGAGGAGGGGGGGAGGGTAATGGTGCGTCGCCGTCTCAAACGAGCAGTTTCAAGGATAGGTTACTGTATTGTAAGGTGGAAAAAAAATTCTGTTACTGAACAAGAGTGCCATGAAAAGTTATGTGAGCATTGCCAAATGGATAAATGAGCTACAATTTTTAAGGCAGTCAAACAAAAATGAGCAAGCTACAGTATTGTTTCAGTACCATTCCAATATAATAGACACACATTTATAATATGAATGCAATTGTTGTTGTTTTTACGCCCCTATCGGCACAGTGTAGGTCATTTCGAAGGCGGGTTTCGACTCTGCCTCTCAGGGTCAACCCGGGCTAAGAGAGATTTAACACCTCAGTAAAAAGACCGAAATCCAGGGTGAACCAAAATGACTGTACAACTTTTTTTCTGAATATCTCGCTCAAAATTTTTACCAGAAGGTCGTTACTTAGAACAGATATAATTAATTCAAAACGAATTTGTTTAACCTAAAATTCTTGCAGAAGAAACTTATTTTGGAAAACGGAAACGGCATTTATAAAAAATAAAATCACCCATGATCGCAAATAGCACCAATTCATAAGATCGTGTAAGATGAGTCATGAGATGATTGGTTGTTTTGTTGTTATTGTTTGTTTTAGGGGGGGGGGTCATTTCTTTTCAAATGTAATTTTTCCATCCCTGTAACATTTAACAATACATGTACTTCTTTTTTCTTACAGAATTAAAGATATTATAAATGTTCGAAAATTCTGAGAACTCAATGCTCAAAATAGCATCCTTTGGACTTGACTAACCTCATCATTAATACTGTTCTGTGGTAGCCAAACACAAGGATCCACCCGAACATGAGTGCTCAAAGCCACACACACTGTGCACCTTACAGTACGAAGTTGTTTCTAGAGACGATAGGGGGGAGTGGTGAAGTTGCCCAATAGACATCATTTTAGGAGTTAACATATCCTGAAAGGTAAATATGGGCTTTCACAAGGAACCAAACGTCATCGTAGAAATGTTCACGCTTTTCAAGACGATCGAGGATTCATGAACACGTTGCTATTCTCTGATCCATGTCAGCTTTGAAAACAGGAAAATGATATAGTCGTTCATGAAGACCTTCCTTGAGAATGCCGACCGTTGAGACAGAGGAAAGTCCTCGATACAAACATCATCTACGGACAAACGTTTCATGGGACTCGTCCACAGAATTCTGCACCCTGGTAACATTTAAAGGTGTGCGAATCGTGTGTGCTTGACTTAAAGCGGTCATCTTATTTGGAAATATTTGGTTCTGATTCTCTACAGGTCTTAACTGGTGGAACATCTTCTCCCTTGACCTCAAAGAAGCGAAACTTACCAAATGTGTTGGTGGCGAGGTAATGTTCATTACGAAAAGCCCTCTGCTCTTTACTCTTTACTAGATATAATCTTAACCATGATCTCAGCAGGCAAAGAAAACTTGTGGAAAACAACATCTGCAAACTTCTGTTGGTCTGTTAGACTACTGGAGCTTGCAACATGGCGCAATCGTTGAAACTTTTCGTGGTAGGCCTAATGCAAACAAGACGTATGTCGTGCTACAAAGATGGGGACATAGCTGAAAACGGTTTGGATTTTTCTTTACCCGATATGTAAAGCAAAACAAATCTGTGGATTTATCTCAAATGAATTTCAGCCAAATTCATTTGGACTTCCAATTCTTGTGTACAAATTTGAAAAGCAAAGCTTCAGTGTTGAGGAAAATATTCACAAAAGGTTGTTACGTTTTATGGGGGGGATCACCCTGTACTTTGTAGAAATTCTCCACACACGGGGATCGAACTCGAGATTCCTGCGTTGAATGATGACACGCCTAACCGTTATTTTGTTTTCTGTTTGTTAGTGTCAGAGCGCTCGGTTGGCTGCTTGCGCTTATGTTCCAGGATCTGTTGGGGATAGTAATAATATAAACTGTAAAGTACATAGAGCTTGTGGTGAAGTGGGGATATGCGCTCCGTACAAATTTGATTTATTATTATTATTATTATTATTATTATTATTATTATTATTATTATTATTATTATTATTATTATTATTATTATCATTATACTAATAACCACTTCCTTTAATGAATTAATGTAAAAAGGCCAATTGCAACCACTTTTTATTAAAGATGAGGAGGTGGAGGTTGTGAGCTCTTACAAGTATCTTGGTGTAAAAATTGATAACAAGCTTGACTGGCATACCCACGCTGCTCTTGTGCATAAAAACGTAAATCAAAGAATTTTCCATTTAAGGAAATTAAGAAGTGTTCGTGTCGATAATAAGATTATGTCCCTTTTATACCATTCTATGATTGAAAGCGTGCTATTATTTTGTATTTGCTGCTGGGGTGGTAATTGTAGGGTAAAATATTTAAAACATACGACAGAACCATTAAGAAAGCTAGCAAGATCTCTGGATATTATTTTACTAGAAATTAGTAAATTTTAATGTATAACACCACAAGTATAAAGAAAGATAAAAAGCATTATGAACGACCCGTCACACCCTCTTTCTACGCAAATTGCCAGATCACGCAGCGGCAAATATGTACCTCTAAAAACAGAAAGAAAGATATGCAGAACTTTATTTACCATCGAGCATAAGGATATTGTCTGAAGTAGCATCAATGTGTATTGCTCTTCTGAGTATGTATCTATATAACTCTAACTCTAAAGGTCTTGTAACTAAATTCCTGCGTGTGGTTGAATGATGCATCTGATGTGATATGTACATTTTGTCAGCTTTACTTCTCTTTTCATTTTGAATTTTAATGAAAGTAATATATAATTAAAATTTCTATGTATACCTGCGTGTGTTTTACGGTCCTGTACAGCCAAGAAAAAGTTCCCATAGGGATGACAAAGTATTATCTTATCTTATCTTATCTTATCTTATCTTATCTTATCTTATCTAATCTTATCGTATCTTAACGTATCTTATAATTAGGAGCATTATTATTTACACTGGTATTATTATTATTATTATTATTATTATTATTATTATTATTATTAATATCATCATTTCCAGTACTCTGTGTCTCTTCGAGTACATGTGAATTAAATAATATGTTCCTGCCTTCTTTTTCATCTTGCGACTGGTCTTTTTTAATTGGCTGTGATCCCCAGCCGTCATCTCCCAAGTTCTAAAGTTGACTTCTCATAAGGCTTTGTCTTTCTTGGAGGTAGTTTTTGTATCTTAGTAATATATTATCTTTTTATCAGTTTTAGGACGATGTTACCGCACTTACAACACAAACAGGCCATGTACCGGAGATTTGAGGTGCTACTAGAAAATAACATGCGAAGAGAAGATAGGGGGGCAAGATGAGAACCGTAGATGTTTAGATCTAATAGGAAAAAGGGAGAAATCACACAAGAACAGCCGCCAAGCACCCTTCGTATCTAAGCAGTTGTCGGCCTATTGTCCTCCCATTCTTTTGTTCATTAGTTTATTCGCCCAGCTTTCAAGCGCTATAGACACCATAGCCTGCTGAATGTGTCTGCGGTGTCGTTGTACCTGTTCCCGTCGTTTTATGCAAGAAAAATTCTGAAATTATGCAAACTGAGCCTAAAAATGTGAAATTATGCAATTGTGTTAATTTTAACAAAGAATGATAAAGGAAAAAAATAAGAAATTATGCAAAAAGTGACCAAATTTTGCTAAATTATGCGGGGTGCATATAAGCGCGGGGACAGTTGTACTGATTAATTATATCTCACTGTATCGGTTTAAAGTCCCTTTCAACGCTGTAAGGCGAGAACCTCCTCTATTTCCGATATGATCGAGCTAGATGGGCGGAAAGCCTAAAAAGCGTATACCTGAGGTAGAGATGTTCCCCAGAACAGTGAAAAATCTATGTAAACTCTTGATTTTTTCCAGATCGTGAAAGGAAATACAACTGTATCGTTACCTAAAGAAAAATGTAATTGAAATGGCATGAAACAACACAAAAATTGTGAAATGGTGATATGGTACGGTTTTAACGCCCCTATCAACACTATTAGGTTATTTAAGAGGCGGAGCCTCCTTGTTTAACGTCCGTCTCTGAAAGGACCGAGCCAAGTGGGAAATTCGTGTAAAGTGCCTTTCCCAAGGACACAACGTCGGACCGAGCTGAGGTTCGAACCCCCGAACCCGCAATCTCACGATTACGAGTCTGGTAGCCTAACTAAACAACATTAAGCATAATAACCTTCAAATAGTGACGATGGGAGCGTAAAATATCTACAGCTGCAACCGTATGTCCTCCACAGTGGTTGCGCTCTCCATGTTTTAGTCAAATTCCCACTCCAATGACCACAATGCTAAATTCGACTCTCCGCCATCACCAGCTTTTCTGTGTGACCCTGTGCTCAATGACCCCTCCCCCCCCCCCCCCCATACACACACCACAACAACAACAACAACAACAACATCAACAACAACAACAACAACCACAACAACAACAACAACAACAACATCAACAACAACAACGACGACGTATACAAAAGGCTCATGGGTTACAACTTGGGAGTAACTATATGGGGTTACAACATTGTAGGGTATTCTATTTTTGGTCAACAATTTTAAAGAATAACATAGGCGTCTGTGGTGTAGCGTTTAGACGCTTTGCGTCGCACAGAGGAAATCCGAGTGCGATTCCCATTAGAAATAATGTATATCGAGTATTGGGACGCTGTGTCATTCTCAGCTTCAGTAAAAGAGGCACTTTGGACAAAATAGTGCTGTCGAGGCGAGGACCTACACTGACATAGATTTTTTTAACAAACAATTAGTGCTCCTTTGGAGTAGTGTTATCATGCTGGGTTACCATGC